CATTAAAGAACACTCTAGATTAGTAATCAGGTTTACCAGTTGTCACGGGGTCACTAGCAGCTACTTTGTTTTCCCTCAGAACTGTGCTCTGTAACGTGATGATAGCATTAAACGGACTACAACTGATGGGAAAAGTAGAGAAAAGAAAGAATAATCAAAAACATACTAAAACTACTGCTTTCAAAGAAAAAGCAGTCTATGAAAAATCACAGGCAAGAAAGTTTCAGCATAAACACTAGTAAACCATATATATTGCCTCGATAAATGCTAAAAGCTTACTCCAGTAAAGCAAGAACAAAGATATTTGTGATTTAGCTCAATTTTTTCATGGAAAAATTGGGATGCATGCTTATACATACTGCTTTTTTAAAATCCAAGAACAAATGTTTCTGAATTGGAATTAAATAAGTATGGTCAAGATGAAAACATGTTTTGAAAAGAAACACTTAGGATTTGCCCACTTCAATTCTCACTAAGGTTTAAATAGTAAAATGACAGGAAAGTTGCACATTCACATAAACTACTAAATGACAGACAAACTGTTACATACTCTTTACATTATCCATCCCTGTTCAGAGGTGGAAAAGCCAAAAGGATGCCATGGAGTAGTAGAGGCATCTGTGCACAATAGCTGCTGCTGAAGTGCCCAGCTTTGGCCTTCTCCCAGAGCAAGGGAGTTTCATTGGTTTGACCTATTTAAGCAGAGGCACCCTGACAAATCTCCGCTCTGTTCTGAACACCACTGTTTGCCTCCTACATCAAACACCTGCACATCACAATCTCATCACTCTACTTAGTAAAACAGACCCATTTGTGGGACAACAGTCAATCCACAGTCTTTTGACTCTCACAAACTTGGGTGTATACATTTAGAGTAAAGTTGCTGTGGGCTTTGCTTGATTGATTGGGGGGGGGGGGGGCTTACTACAATTAAAACATTTGATCTAAAGCACCTGGAATAATAACTGCACAAATACTTATTTGTACTATCTTTCGAAGAAATACCAACAGATTCTCCTCTAGCAGCTATAAAAATACAACCAAATCCTGTGTAGTAAAGACAGTCAGGGGATTACGTTTTACAGTTCTGTGGATGTTATGTACTATCATCCACTACTACCAAAGAACTGTATTCAGATGGTGAAAAATGACACGCTTGATTGCTCCAGGATTTAGTAGCTGAAAATAAAGTAACGGGTCTTCAAGAAATACACTGCTTTATGAGTATGTCTTTTTAAAAAAGCTATTGGAATACGTTGGGTGTAATAACAAACACACGTAACTCCTACTTCTAATGAGGAAAAAAAGGAAAGAAAATGTTTTCCTCTAGCAGCACATGATTCAATTAACTCTTCAAGCTCTTCTCTCATTGCAGCTGTTTAAAATACAACTATTTTTCACAAGACAGTAAAAATGCTAGTTCCAAAGGCAAAATGAAGTCTTACAAGGTTTCTCTCTATATTATCAGACACAGATCAAGTGGTAGTAAATACCTATGTACCTAACTGGCATTTCTGAAAAACATGGAACACTTAGCAGCTTGTGCAGAAACCAAACCCCACAAGACACTAGGTCTGTTTTATTCAGGTGTTTAGACTAGGTAGTTTTTTGGTTTGTTTTTTTTTCAGTTCAAACATTTTCCAATTTATTTTCTTCTAGAAGGAGAGTTCTAATGTTTCTATATTCTCTCTTTAATATCTTGTAGAGATAGGCACCTATGTGAAAAGTCATGAATTCGCCCTGGATTTATTCTTTTTTTTCAAGACACAACCTTGTAATTTTACATCTGACCACTCTAAGCTGCTGATGTTCCATAAGGACTCTGTAAAAGCCAGAGTTGCTCATGAGCTCTTTTGGCAGTCTAACAGCCTGAAGCACAGCTAAGCACCAGCTGCACCGTATTTATCTACTTGTTTATGAAAGAGTTTCTCCCTCATTGTGTGGATAACTGACCTTAACCATAGCTAATAAGACATGAGCTTCCTTGACCTATGCAGTTTTACACTGAATTTTATAAAATACTTTAGTGTTATCCATTTGGCCTCATTGAGCTCCTAATGAGCTGGAACACGTTCTCTCTCCAGTACTGTCACCATAGACAAGGTGCGGTCCAAGGAACAAAAATAACCTGGCCCAACCTTTGCTTTGGCCATCTGCTTCTGTAGACAAGCTTCTTTCTGGCTACCACCAGGTTTTCATAAAGAAGAGAATCAACCAACTTACAGATATTTATGCTCCGCCCCTCCCATCATTGCATCTTGCTGCCCCAACCATGTAGGGAGAGGAACGGCTTGCTTGCTGCAGGCTGACTGCTCCATGAACCTCCCCTAAACTGCAGCTATTTCCAGATATATGTCTAGTTTATCAGAGACTTCTGGAAATCCATCACTTCCCAACCTTAAGCCTCTAAACAGGCTTTCAGCTACAAATGCTGGGAGTCTGCGTTGAAGAAAACACAACTGTTTTACTTAACATAAAAATCCCACTCAGCCAAACTAGCTCCACTGAATCAGATGATGTCCTTATCAATCTACCCCAGACACATACAACTTTTTCTTCCCTTCTCTCCCCCATTTTTTTTTTTAAACACACAAGTGAGAAGCTAAAACTGACGCAAAAGCAAGGATCACGTCAGCCGTGGAGTCAGGCTGAACTGACTTGCAAGGGGACATTTTTCACGGGTTGCACTATGACTTGTTGAATTTGAAATGAGTCACTGTAATAAGCACAAAAAAGACAGTTTCCTCTTGATATGTTTTATTTCCATTTTTTATGTAAGAATATTCTTTTTATCACAGTTGATTTAAATTATAATGATTAAATAACAGCTAATTTATACTGGCTTACAGTTGGGGGGCTCAAGGCTGTTTCTTTTCAGTTGCAGGTAGAGTTTGATAATCTAGGATTCTGCCAAAAGTTAATATTTACACTATATTTTAATATTGTGATTAAAGTCTGCCTCTCAAACCAGAGAGCTCAGATGTCAACTGCATATACATACAAAATACAAGAAATCCTGACATATTACTTCAAAAATCTAAACAATTTGTCTAATTTCTGGGTTAATACACACAGAAGTAATACAATTGCCTTAATCATTCCAAATAAGCATACAGTGAGTTTTCATTTTGTTGGGTTTCCTTTTTCCCCTAACAGCACTACACTGATGATGTTCCAAGCAGAGCATTCCAAAGAGTCACTCGTGCCGGAAAACAGTTAAGCTAAACTCAAGTTTCAAATTTTAAGTTCAGCTTTCTCATTCTGAAGCAAGCATTCTCTTCCAGTACTAGTTGAAAGAGCTTATCTAATTTAACTTTCATTTTTTCCTTAAACATCTGGGAAATTTCATTTCTCTAATCAGTTTCTTACTCTCCTCCACTAATTACAATCTTGTTTTTTCTACGTATATCATTTCCTGTGTGATAATTTTTTCATCATTAGTTTTCTTGCTCTTTATATATTTCCTAGATGCTGGTGTTCAAATTCAGACAAAGCAGCTTATTTGTGTGGACCCTATTCTCTTTCAAATACTCAGATAAAATATGCCACAAGAAGTTATTTGCCTCTCTGTATATATGAATATTCACCACAGCTTCCAAAATCCCACCATTTCTTGCCCTGTTGGCTAAATCATCAGCAAATTCTAGGATTTTAATTTACTCTAACATGATGAGCTGCCCTTCAGAAAACTTGGCCACCAGCTGTCTCTCTCCTCGAGTAGGCCAAAGTCACATGCAAGACAATGAAGCCTCTCAGACAAATGCCACTTCTCTGTTTCACTTTCCTCACTGCCTCTGCTTCCCTCCTTTCTGTTTCTCCTTTGCCCCTAGGTTGTATCTTAATCCCATTCTCAAAATCAAAAGGCTTCTTCCTTTCTGCATGGCTCATGAAATGTTACTACATAGAACTAAATTGCTACAGGGGCTCAGCCTTCGGATTTGGATTGCTTTCAGTTTTTATCACTATTTTCATATTTGTAACACCACAGTCCCTTTTATATAGCTTTCAGGCTTTCAGGTACTGTAGTAACATCATATGCATATTGAATTCCATTCAACAAGCAAATCAGGATTTTTTATTTAAATGTTGCTAATTTCAGTAACAGCACACAACTTAAGGAAAGTCATTAAATACTGTATACAGACTTCCTAATTTCTACAGCATTAGGCCACTAGTTAAGATTTTACACACATCATATAATAAACTAAATAGTGAAGACTACATTGAAAAAATAAATGTTTGTCACACCTATTGATTAGCGTCAGCAGCACAAATGTAACAGACAAATCTGAAAGTTTACCCTAAGACAAGAGCTTTGAGTCTTCAGAAAATTACCAAAATTATAAGAAGATTATGTTCAACTGATCTAATGGTTTGGTTTGCATTTCTATGTATAAACACAGTGGTATGTTTACCAAACATCCATTTCCTTCTAACCCCAGATCACAGACTTTTGAAACCCCACCAAAAAAAAGTTTTTTAATGAACACAAATGTGTCCACAATATCAAAACAAACTTGAATAAATCATTCATACAGTGTGAAAACTGAAGTCTAATAACTCCAAATGAAAGAGCTCAGCGACATAAAAGTTTCTGTAAACCTCCACATATGTTCAGGCACAACTAAAGACAGACTTACTTAATATATTAGGTTGTAATTGCAAAGAACTCTTCAGGTTTTGCCAACAGTTCTCACACGTAACCACAAACAAGTAAAAACTTGTTAAGATATTTCACTGCTACATACACTTCATAGCTTAGAAATATATCTTCTTACCAAAGTTAAAGCACAATTTTCGTTTCTTTCATTCATTTGAGGAAACTGAGGAGCAGCATATGCTGTTTCATTTGCAGATAGTTTTAAGTAAAACAACAAAGATTCTTCTAAAACTAAGCCCTCTTACAAAAAAAAAAACACAACAAAAAAACAAAAAACAAACAAAACCAAAATCAAAACAGAAAGAAAAGACTTATTTCTTTGAGAAGATGTCTAGCTTACCTGACTTTGCCATTCCACACCGACAGCCTGAACAATATTATCAGTCCTTCAGGTACTAATTCTTGCTAACTGGAAGGATATTTTCTCTCTTGCTGGATTAATAATCAACTTTCCCGATAGTTCATTTGTAATTCTCTGCTGGTTAACCCTTTGCAGGGCTCCCATTTTGAACTAAGCAGCCTCCAATGTTCAGTTCATTTTAGTGCAAAAATAACAAAAATTATGAAGTACATACATGACAATTAATTAGCAAGCTAAAGAGAAAGTTTAAGAATAGCTTATCTTAAAAAGCTACAAGCTCATAAATGGTTAAAAGACTACTTTCTCTTTCTTAAAACTCTACTTACTAAACCTAGGAGCCAGTAAACCAATGCATCAACAAACTGAAAGCTGTAAAGTCCAATGGCTCATAGGACAGCATACACCCATGAAGCTACTGCTCAACCTCTCATCTTCGGTGTGTGTTTAAATATAACGCATGCCTGCTGAATTCTGAAAATAACATCTTTTATTACCGAATAGTGCGCTCAGAAATTGCCGCAGTTATCAGTTAGTGCAAGGCTGTCCATCTGTGTTGTCAGAAAGCAAGAGCAAGAGTGGCCAGGAGTAAAAATGAGATAAGAGAGGCCCAGAATAGCTAAAAAGGGGAGTTCAAATAAGGTCAAAACAGTTTAAGATGGGATACCTAACAATTACATGTAATTTTATATTTCAAAGGTAGTAGAAATCTGCATCCATTTTATCAGTTTCATCAGAATTCAAAACATTTTGGCAGCTCTGTTGCGAAATGAGTAAAAAGATTATAAAGCCAGCCCTGTAAATAGGTGTAGAGATCTAGTACAGGAGGGTGAAACATTCTGGAAATCCTGACCTGAAGAAACTAGTCTTTGTTTGGGGGATATAAGTAGGACCTTGGGAATTGCTATGATTGGGAAAAATAAACTTTTTGCATAGATGACTGAGGCATAGTGCTGCAAAATGGAGTAATCATAAGAAAGTCTTTTTTTCTCTCTTTTTTTCTCTTTTTTTTTTTTTATTCTGGAAGACAGTGACTCAGGGCTTTCCTGATAAATTTTGCTACAGCTGTTTTATTAGATATTACTGCAGTACTTTTGTTTTTTCCTTAGACAAAGAGACAGAGTCTCCAAAAGTTACTGCATAGCACAGAAGAGGCTATTTCCCTTTGCATAACAGTAGTTCAATAGCAAATTTATTTTTACACAACCATAGGTCTCTGCTCTCTGTCTACTGCTCTCTCTCTTCAGCAGCATCTAATATAGTTTGCTGTAAACTTTCTATAATATGTGCTGTAGAATTTATAATAAAATGCTATGAAGTGTTGAAGCAAATTTATTTCATATTTATAGTTGATTTTGTTGTGTGTGTATTTGAAGGAAAACCTTTTAGGAACACCAAGAATGTGAGAAAGCTACAACAACTAAATTTATTGTTGGGCATCACATCAGTGGTACTCCTGGGGGCTCCTCTTCATGGGAAGAAAGTTTAAGCAACATTTTCTAACACATTGGATTGCTTCCCAGAGACGTGATGGCCTACAGAGGCAGTGCTGAACAAAGCAGGCTGGAACAGCATGTAAGTAAACAACCCCTTTCAGAGGATGGTCACAAATAAGTGCAACTTTGTTTAATAAAGGCAAGTTATCTTTTGTTCTTTAAAAGGTGCATTATCTTTTTCTCCGGTTCCACCTGACTAAACCGGTGGTATCTCTTCTATCACCTGACTGAGTGGCTGGCTGGAAATAATGGGACAGAACAATCCACTATTGTTACAGAGACAATGACCTTTCATCTTTCCTATCCTCCAATGGTCTCTCCTAACAACTAAAACTACACCCCTTAGGCTGAATTCCAGATTGTCATAAAAAGCCCTGTCCTTTCAAAACAAAACCAATTTTTACACCAAGGTGGGGGAGAAACACAGGTCCATTGTTCTGGCACAGATGGAAGTTAGAGTTACTAAGGCAACAGCTCTAATCCCCCTTTTTACCACCTTTTTCACATCATTGGCCTATCAAGTGTGCTACCTTTTAACTCATAAGCTCAAAAGCTGGTAGTCTAACTGACTGCCCTAATTAGCTACGATTTTCACAGTACAGACAACATGATGAGCTAATCGAAATTTGCAAAATAATGACGTACCTCCAGCAAATATTCCTCCTTCTGAGGCCCAGTCTTAGAATAACAATAATGAGACCATTATTAGAGGAGGGCATTAAAATGCTGCACTGCTGCTAAACAGAGAACTTAATTGTTCTGGTCTTGTCCATTGAATCAACAACCTATTGTTGTGGACTTGAAAAATAAAGGACTGGAGAATGGGTGCCATAATGATTGGTCTGTGCTGCCATACCAGCACTCTGTAGAATTGTTTTCCTTTTGAAACTCTTGATGGACTAGTAGTTTTGTTTAAAACTAATATAAAAGGCAATTGTCTGGATAAAAAGTCCTATTTATTGAAATCTTTAGAAGCAGTTGCATTGATTTGTTCATGACCCCCAAGATAAAAACATAGGGACCATAATAATGCTATTTGTAGAGACCACTGCCTGTAGTGACACTAGGTAACACTGCGCTGTCTAGCTACTGCAAAAGGAAGGCAGGCACTTCCTTTACAGACAGAAATAATGACAGAAGGTCAAATAGTGGACAGACCCAATTCATATGTAAAAAGGAAGATGTTTTATTTAAAAAAAAAAAAAGAAAAAAAGACAATATAATTGGTAATAATTTATAATTCTGGGTTTAGATCAAAATGATAAAGGTACTCCTAAGTCAGTCACAACACAGGACTGTTGGTTAGCTGGCTAGATATTAAAAATTATTTACTTTATTTTTTCTTCACTTCTTCTACAGAATTATATCCTAAGCTTTGTAATTTGAAACCTAAGACACCTTGAGTTGTAGTGACTCAGTTGATATAAACTGTAGCTTACGGTTAGCTTTGGATAGTCTCGGGGGAAGAGATGCCTAAAATCTCTGGAATACCTTATAAATTTGCAAAGGGGTGTTAACTGACAGTAAAATATACAGCTTTTCACAAAATGTTGAAGATTAACATGATTTTAAGAAAAAAAAAATCCTCCCCTATGAAAAAGCATAGTTTTATTATATCGAATCATTGTTAATTAACACTGTCTTGGATTCCCTTCTTAGCTTTCATTGCAATTGAAAACATACAAGCAATAACAGATTTACACTTTATTTTTACACTGTTTTAATTAAGAGGAATTAAAATTGTGTTTTATTGTATTTTGTACAGTTACCTCTCTTGATGCATCTTCCCGCATACAAATTGCTCAAAACAGGGCTATGACTCTATGTCAATATAAACAATCAGAAACAAGAGAATCTGGGCCCATTGGTACTTTGCTGTTTAGTTCAATGGCAAAAAGTTTAAGTTTTAAATTTTTCTTATTCTTATCAACATATTGTAAATCAAAATGGGAGAAAAAATGTGAAAAGGAAAGAAAGGAAAAAACTTAAAAGTTAAAGGTTAACCCAAAAGGTATTTCCAGCAGCCCTTAGAACTGCTTGCATAATGTCAAGTTGTCTTGCATGTATTCACACAACACATTTTTCTTTAAACTTGGGGTCTTTTCTTTTGTAAATTGAAAAATGCCTAATATAAAGAAGTATTAAATTGTAAATAAGACCTCTTGCTTCATTCAATCTATGCTTTGCTTCATTTATCTTCATCTTGTTAGGCTAAATTAATTAACAATCTCTGTGTTGCACACTTTCTCTTTTCATTACATCAAATAATGGCCTGGATATGGGAGAAAACCCTCACCACAGGGATCTTGAAACACTACCTTGAGGTAGAGTCTCTTACATATGTATTGCTTTAGCAATATTAACTAGCTAGATTTATGAAACGGATTCTTCATCACTTTAAAATAATTATCCTGATTTTGTGAGAAATAAAAATACTTTAAAAAATCAGAGGCTTGCATCAGATCAGGTTTACCATTTCTGAGCCACAAGTACTAAAAGAAAGAAAGTACCTAAAATCATTAATAGTTTTCCTCAGTGCTTGATTTAATATAAAAACCCTGCAACTTGAACACAATTTTTGGCTCTGACCAACTGTGTATAGAGTCCCAAACACATTAATGTGTCAAATTATTTAAACCAAGTTGCCATACCACTTGTCTGTCAATGTTCTGTATATAATTAATTGGATGTCTGGGACAGTTTCATTGGTAAATCTGGTTATTTTGATAACATAATGGGGAGCAATGTGCTAAACTATTAGGCAAGTTTTCTTCCTTTAACCTACATTATGGCATTTAGAGCAAAAGGGCAAAACAGTAAAGCCTTTTTTAATCTCACTCTGATCAAACAACCCTCTTTCTCCAATCACAGCTTTGTGCGTGATATCTTTCTGCTAGTGTTTCTTATTTAATTAAAACAGACACAGACAGAAGGACATGGATTAGGACTGTAATGATGCATTTACTTAGATTAATCGGAGGCTCCTTTTGGAGTAATGGCTTAAACAAAGAACAAAAGGAAATTGTTATGAAACAGCCTTTTATCCCAGGCAAAGGTCAAATTATGAGGTTTTTAATTTTGTCAGCCTCTGTTATATTGGGCCTTGCTACTGGAACATGAGAAGTACTTCTCTCCCCCTCTTTCTCAAGCCAGGCCAGTTATTATAATACAGCCATTAAAGCTGCAAATTAAAATGTCTGATTTTAAAACAGGTTGCTTAGCTTTCAAAACCCTCTAATTAGCATGTTGTGCATTGTTACAAAGGAAAAAAACCTAAAATGCTAATGACCTGCTGCCAGGTGACCACACTGCTGTGCAAAATAATACAGACCCTTTCAAGTAGTAGTAATAATAATACCCAGCTCCTATGAATTATCCAACTCCAGGTCTACTCCGCACCACATGTGCTTAAAGAAACAAGCATGCACCCAGCCAAAGATCAGAGTTCAGTAGTCAACATGAGATTGCTGTATCTTAACTGGAAAGAAATCTGTGCCCATTCAGACACTGTAGGGAAAGAAAAAAACATTCTGAAATCACCATGGGCCAGGTGACACTTGGATGAGGCACAGTGAAAAGCACAGAATGGAAAATTCTTACCCTCACAGACAGAAACTACAGATATACTTCTGTAAATCTCAAAAGAGCCAGCCCCAGCTTGCTGTGATTCTGCTTCTGTGTTTTGTTTACGACAAGCAATAAAGCATTAAAAGAACCCAAACACAAGTATATTTTTGCCCTTTCCCAGTTCACCATTCATCACAAGTTTATTGAACACACTACATTAAGCTAGAGCTGCTAAAGCTCAAAACTTTTCCACAAGTCTTGTGATGTTTTCTTAAAATATGTTACAGGAGAAAGACTGATGATGTGACTTCAAAGACTCAAACCAAATAGAAAACATTTTTGTAAACCTCATGGTACTTGAAGGTCTGCTTTTTTGAATACTTGTGTTTTAGCAAACTTACTCAGTTCACACAAGATTTCCCAGTGACAAAATGTAACAAAAGTGCCTTCTTTTTTTGAAATCATAACTGCAACAATATTCATTAGTCTTTTGAAGCACCAACACTCCACACAGACCCAGTCCTGCAGTCAGAGCATACACATCTCTGGCAAGCTGAAATGTCACACAATACTCAGAGGCTCACCATGTGATATCAAAGAAGAAGCAAAACCTTGCTGACAGTATGAATGTTGGATCCGAACAACAGCAGCAGAGGCTGCTGTTCAGCACCACAAAGAATACCTTCCTAACAAGTCCAGAATAATTAGCTGGGCAGTCAAGATTAACCCCACTTGACCTATTTTTTACCAACAGATAAGGAAAAAAAAGGCTTTCTCCGTAACTTGATGTCTCTGCCACAAGGATCCCTCCAGACATACCAGCACAGCCTGACAGCGTTCTTCCTAGGTCACAGTAGTAGGAAGTTGGATGAGATGTTGAAAAGCTGTGCTAGCCTCGATGTCCGCTCATTCACAGAAGTCTCCCCCCCTTTCAAGTGATCGCGATCCCTAATTGACCAGTAAGGGAAAAAAATGACTGCAAGAAGGATTTTCAGTCATTTTGAATCCCTTATTGCATTATGTTTTACTTAAACATTTATCAGACCAGAGACAAGGTACAGTGGGATTCCAAATCCCAATGCCCCCCAAACCACTACTCAAAGGAAAGCATAATTCAATCCTTCTCCAGATAAATTACAAACCAGCAAGGTTAAGCCAATTATAATATATAAAGTACCATGTGTGTGGTTTCATCTCAAACCCATGTGTCAATGGTCTGTATTGCTTGTCTCCATTTTACACGTTACAGGTCAGATTACACTGTTGCCACTGTACTCCCTCACAACATAGTCCCAATCCTGAAAAAAACTGCGAACTTGCCCTTGAAAACAGTAACACTATTACATGTAAGTCACTGAAATGACCTACATAAAAAGGAAAATACACTTATTTGCAAAGACAGTAATTTCAATTCACCCAAACACCTGAGCTGCTTAAAAGGTGGTAAATTCTGGCAAACAAAATGTTAATAAAATGAACTACATAGTAACAATATTTTACCTGGTTAAAAAAACATGCTGAATTTCACAATAGTCTTCTACAACTTCGAGATATCACTGTCATCAGCCAGTACTACTATTTATTTATTTGTTTAAACTTAATTTCTGTTCTGCCAAGTTCCTCACATCTTAAGATATGAGAACCTATCTTCACATATATGCATATCATCCAC